GGCTACCATGTGCTAGGAACTGTGCTAGACATAATGAATACAAAGGTGAATGAGGCAGAATAAGAAAAAAAAGTCTGTCTTTAAGGCTTAGTATCCTGCTCTTCTAGATACCCAAGAAGTTAAACAGAAGGCAGGGTATGGATACTGAAACAAAAGGTTACCTTTGTGCCCTTGTACAAAACATAGTGTGTCTACAGATGTGATTTTTTTTTTTTTTTTTTTTTTTTTTTTTGTCCTTAAAGAGAAGGCTGACGGGGATATGAACACCATTCATGAAACCACCAAGGAAACAGATAGGATAAACGTAGGTTTATTCAACCTAAATCCCAGTGTGCTAGAATTACAGGCTACTCTTTGAGATCCAAAAGAGGTAAAGTTAGGACACATAAGATCAAATATGAATTTATATTGTTGTAAACTCATGGAATCTGAACTCAAGAATATAGTAAAGGCTGAAATAGAAATGGCTTTGTGAAGTGGAAAAAAGGGACATCATTCCAGTTTAACAGGATTTTTAGGATACTACCAAAGCTCTAATCCCCACAAAGCAACAAAACAAAACCCAAGATAAAGCATGTGACAAAGGATGTTTGTTCTTTCTAACTTGGAAATAGTTTAAACAAAGTGAGAAAATTGACAATGTGAAAACTGGTGAGATGCTTTCTTATTTAAAACAAAGAGATACAAGGATTCTTGGGAGATATAATTAAAGTTTGAGCTTGTACTTTGGTACTCTTTATGTCAACGTCTCTGCCCTGACAGCTCTATAAACCAGTGGGCTCAGGGCCCCTCTTGTCCCAAGCTTACATAGATGGATCTGGAAGGACAAGAGAGTTTCAAACTTTGAGATCCAAGCTTTCAGAAAAAGAGGTGAACTCATTTTCCCCCCAAGTCTATAGTTAGAGGGACAAAAATGCTGTAAAGGGGTTGAGATCCTTGTAAGGAGAATTCTGATGGGTCTATTCAACAATCTAATAAAAACCTAATTAATGTTAGGTATTTTGAACTAACAATAGTTAGTTGAAAAATAATAGTACTACGGTGTTGACCCCTGTTTAGCTTGTTGTATTATATACTGTGACTCCTAGAACACTTTAAGCTGGACTTGAAAAAACCAGTTTTCTCATGATTCATCTTTTCTTCTTATTGGAAGGATTTAGAAAAAGGCAAAAATAATGGGGAACACCCCCCAATTCAGGAAAACAAAACACAAACAAAGAGCTCCAACTAACCCATCCTAATTTCAAGCTAATATGAATGCACTTTTTTCATGCAGTATTTGCAAGTCTTTTCCTTATGGATATATATTTTTTTTACATAGTTGCAGTCATAGTTGACTTATCTTTTTGACTTCCACTTTTAAAATGTTAAGTCTGTGGTTCTCAACTGGGGGTAATTTTGCTCCCCAGGGGACATTCAGCAAGATCTGGAAACATTTTTGATTGTCACAACTATGGGTGTGTGGGGGGTTGTGCTACTGGTATCTAGTGGGCAGTAGCCAGGGATCCTGCTCAGCATCCTACAGTGAATAGGAAAGCTCCCCACAACGAAGAACATCGGTCCAAAATGTCAGTGGTGTTGAGGTTGAGAAACCTTGTGTTAAACCGTTACTATTAAATCACAGTTTCCAGTATGAATAACCATCCGTTTTGAATGCTTGAATTAAACCCTTCTGGGAAAAGGATATATCATAATTAACTTAATCATTTCTCTGATGTTAGGCTCTTAGGCTCTTTCCAGTTTTTCTCCATTATAGATAATGCTGCAATGGACATCTTTGATCACTTTTTTTCTGCTGAATTATCCCCTTAGGATAAATTCCCAGAAGTAAGAAATACTGAATCAGTGGGTATGAATACTTTTTCATATTTCATGAGTCATTGCCATTTTGCTTTACAAATAGATTGAACCAAATCACAATCCACCATAAGTGTATAAACTTACCAGTTTTACCAAAGCCTCAGCAGTACTGGGAGTTACTATTTAAAAAAATGAGGAGGCACATACGTCAAGAATAAAATTATGCCTCCAGTTTGCTCAATATGGATTTAAATTGCTAATCAGGATGAATGTTTTTTCCATATTTGTCTTCTATTACTATTATTTTTTGATATGAATCTTTTATGTCTCCAGCTTATTTTTCTAACTGGTTCTGAATTTTTTTTAAAAAAAATTAAATGTTATCTTTCCTGAGTGTAGATAGTAATGTTAAAGTTAATGAAATTATTTTACCTTCCCCCCTCCCCCTCCGGTTTTACTTTCTTCCACCACTGCATAGATATGTTAATGTTTCCTCCTGGAATTTTTATTTACAATTTTAATACTCTTTTCAGGTTCTGGTCACCTCACCCCACCTGCCGCCTCTACACAGAGGAAAAGCTTCTCTAGCGATTGATGAAAGTGACCCAGCGAGGTAAGAGCAATACTTGGTCTCTAAAGGTATCCCAGGAACTAATTTCCCTTAATCAAATGAAGGGCCTTAGGAGGAACCACAAGGCAGAAAGGAAAATAAATCTGAAGGAGAATACCAAATTCTGCGAGGAGTCTGAGGGACCTGCATTAAAAAAAGGGCACCGTACCTTTAGGACTTCAGAACTGGCAGTGCTCCACATGCAGCTATGAATATGCAAAAAATGCCTTCATAAATACTTGATTCTGTTCACAGTGGGGAGGCAGTTCATTTGAAAGAGGAAATGGGATCTTGCAGTTGAAACATGTCTGCTTGTCTCTTTTTTCTTTTTTCATTGCTCTTTTCATCTCCACGTTTCCCCTTGTAGTTTTCTTCCCCCTCTATCCCCGACTTAACCCCTCTCCCGGCTCCTAGGAAGTTGCTGATGTCAGTTGCTCTCATTTCTGTTGCTGGACTTACCGCCCGGGCCCTGATCTGGGAAGATCAGTCGCGGAAGGGGTGCCCCGGCGCGAGTGCCACCACCTGCCTGCTCACCGCGCGCAGACGGCGGCCGGGAGCGGGCCGCAGCGTGTCGATGCCACCAGCAGGGGGCACCGCAGGCAGCCTCCAGGGCCGGAGACCCCAGTAACCCGGTCTCCGCCTGGCTTCCTCTCCTACCCGCCCCCTGCCCCCCGACCCCGTCACAAATCGTTTTCCAAAGCTAGGTCTGTGACTTCTCCCTAAAGGGTGGTGATACCAAAATATTCCGTCTTCGGGATCCCCCGCCCCCTTTCAGCTAGCACTGTGATAAAAAAGTAAAAGTATTTTATGTGACTGAACTAATACGGTCGGTCCCCACGGAAGGGAGGGAGGGGGTGAGTCAGTGGGGAACTAATAGAAAGGAAAGCACAGAAACTGCTGCTGCTGAGAAAGACCAATTTTGTGCCGATGTCCTGGCCTGCTTCACAGCGGGAAAGGCGACAGTGGGAGGAATCCACTGGATTTGCCAGTGGCCCATCAAGGTAGGTAACTGAGATCTGCTGGGCAGAAATTTGTTTCTAAATCCGTTCCAGATGCTGTATAGTAAACATGAAATTAGTCATTTACATGAGTAGGTTGAGGAAGTAGTTAAAATTGAAGTCAGTGATTAATCTAATAAGGGGCCATTAGCCTCAAGAAACAAGGGGGGTGAAGGAGGCCAGGGACACGCCCCCACCTCCCCAACTTCACTCCACTTTCTCTGTGGTTTGGGGGCTGGGGGGGGGGCTCCCCAGACTTTCTTTCAAATGGCTTTTCTTTCTGGGGTGGCTTCTAAAGGAATTAAAACTACTCTGACTTGAACAAACCAACTGGTTCTGCTGGGGACAACCCGCCTCATTTCACAAAGGAGGTACATGAAGCTCTGGGAGCAGCTGACATGCCACAGCAGCACAGGGGAAACCCAGGATTAGAGTTTAAGACCCTCGGTCTGGTGCTCCTCTTTCTGACTGCAAGGTTAATAATTCAGGCTAGGATTTAATTTGACATGGCTGAGCCACTCTTTTATTGCAGGTGATATTAGGTCTCCTGAAATACAATCACTGGGCTGTGTGAATTTGGGGTGTGCTTAGAGTATGTGAGGCATTTGCATGGTCTTTGGAGTTGTGGAAATATCAAAATATACAATATTATATGTTCCTTAGTCACAGATTCTCTCAAGAAAGAAATGCCTCTAGATACCTTATAAAGGGTGTCTTCAAAATAGGCATTTAAAAGAAATGCAAACTTAGTCCTGTGGTTCCTCAGTAGCACGGAGGGTGGCTTAGCTGCAATACATCAGTGGAGGCCTTGACCCAGGCCTGGGTTTAGTGAGAGTCCACGCCCTGCCTCAGAACTCAGCTCAGGCACACAGATGAGAATAATAGAACCCATTTCTATTATTATTTTTAATAAGTGCTAGAGAAAAGGAGAAAACCAGGCTGTGGCAGGAAGTTGGACATAAAGGAGAAATAGTGATCGTGGCCCCTAGGCTGAGGGAAGAGACCCAGGTCCCCTGGAGCTGTGTATGCCGCTCTTGCCTCAGGTTCTCTGAGATGCCAGATTCAGCTCTAGGAATTCCCCTGAGGTGTCTCTCCAGAGAGAATTTGAAGACAGTCCCAGTCTCAAAGCTTCCAACAAAGGAACAAACTTACAAATATTTGTGAACATATGTCCTTGAACCACTAATAGAGGTTCCTAATGCATCCAGATAAGCATTTTCCTCTTTTCTTCACAATTACCCTTGCGTTTTTTTCCTCGATTCCTAATTTTTTCTCCCCATTTTCATTAGGAATGCAAATGAGTGCCTACTGCCTCAATGAATAACTTTTGTGTTTTCTTATTCCCTTTCTGATTTTGCAGAAGTCAGACACACACACGAAGACAGACAATGCAGTCACAATTGGACTAAGATATTGCAAGTCTAAGAGTAAAGGAACCTCTGAGGTTTTATAGTCTACTTGCCTCATTTTACTGATTAGGTAAATGAGGCCCAGACAGGTGAGGAGTCTCACCAAGGGTCACATAGCAAGCCAGGACAAGAACCTAAGAGTCTTGACTTGAGTATCATGCTCATTCAGAGTCGGTACTGTACCTGCTTCTCTGTTGTTTGGGTCAGAGGTGAGGTTTCATAAAGACTCATGTGAAGAGTGGTTCTGGACTCAGCGTTTGCTAGGTGAAAATCAGAGAGAAAAAGGATCAAGGTTGTCAGATCTAGGTCTCACAAATTTTTATATATACCATACACACACATACCTAGTTCATATGTATGTAAGATTATAAACATGGATACACCTATGGCATTCATATTTACTCACCAAATAACACTCATAACTTCTATAGGCACAGTCTACACACCATGATAAATATAGTGTTAAGACCTTATATTCAAATTTATATTTTTCTTGTTTTGGTTGCTTTTTAAAACAACAAAAGTAAATTCTTTGTGCTATCAAGATTCAGATAAAGCTGAAATTAAAAAAGAAATGTTGATGGAAGAAACTTACTGATGCTGTTGAATATAAATTTTGTATGACTGCACTTCACTGAAGTAGGAAAATGCTTCTGCAACCTTCTGGATAAAGAGATCAGAGACTTCCCTTTTTTCTCACAATATGGGGGGCAATAGGAGAGGTGGGAACTTGACACAGACAAGGGCAAAGGCCAAAATGCTGCTGGTGGGAGGAGAAATAATGGAAATCAAGAAGCCGCCATGAAGAAGGTGCCACATGGACTCGGGCATGGCATTGGTGTGTGATCCTGTGACTCTCCCCAGTGCTGGGTGTTATCACGATTCTCTACAGGTGTGGAAGCTGAGCTTGAAAGGTGTAGTATCTCATGCGAGGTTGTACAACTAGTGAGGTTTTGAGTAAGGATTTGAGTCCAAGACTGCCTGCCTCTAAAACTCCATGGTGCAAAAGGATAGGATTTATTTTGTTTTTCTTTTTTTCCCATAAGAAAGTAAATTTAATATTTATAAAAATGTTTATTTGAGGAACAGATTTAGCTAAGCACTGAAAAGGATTTTAATCTCTTTTTTAGGACCAGTGTCCAATGAAAAGTTCTTTCCATTCTTGGTGAGTATGAGGGGTCTTCAAAAATTTCACAGAAAGATTCATATTATCTTTTAATTCTATTTTTCCACAAACTTTTTGAAGTACCCTTGTACTTTGACAGCCTATGGCCATCTGTGACTCTGTATCTTTGTCTTTTTGACCTGAAGCTTCTACTCTTTCCTTGTGGGCTGACTTTCCCTTTTCTGTTGTTTCTCAGCTGTCCTCTTCTGTTGTGTTTGAAAATGGCTTCTTCCCAGATTTAAATCATTTCTTATTTAAATCATCTTGGGGGAAACTGAGACCCAGGGAATGGTTTCGTGTCATTGGCTCAAGGCCATACCTTGAATAGTGCAAAAACAGGAACCTGAACCTACATGTCCTCCAGGTTGGTGCTGTGCTTCCCACCACATCACGCTGCCTCCTGTATCTCCTCACTTGAGTTTGCCACATTGCAGCTGCTTGGCTATGGTCCATCGTCTGGACAGATCCAGCCCAGCAGAATTGTGTTGTGATGAGGTTCACTTCTCTGTGGCTTGGAAGGAACCATGGGTCTCTTAGAAATGAAACTTATAAATTCTAATGCATAAGGAAAGTTCTTGCAACACCAGGAGAATGAATCAGTCAGCCAGAGTCCAAGAAATATAAACACATTTTTAGATAGGAGACTGAAAAATCGCTTAGGGCTTCTCCGTCTCTTGGGTCAAGACCTTGGTAATTTACTGAGGTCCAAGCTGTCAAGGAGGGGACACAACTCAAACTGCATTCCTGGGAGATAAAGCAATGGTGGTGGTAAAACTTTCTCTTGAAACAGTGTGGCAAGACCTACCCCTGTTATCAAGTCCGAGAAACTGACTAACCCATTGAGCAACCCAGGCAACTGCATTCAGGAGCTGGTGTGTGTGTTCACAGACTGCAGACTGCATAACTTCCGGGCACGCCTGAAACTGGGAGTTCACAGTCTTCCTGTGATGAACATTTCTGCCACTAAGGAGATAAATGGAAAACACATTCCTTCCCTGGCTGCCCACCATCAGGCCCAAGTAGATTTTCAAATGCTAGCATTAATCTATCCACAGGCTTTTAGTGAGGAGATAACGTTCCCGCCAGATAATCAGGCAGTTTCAGAGATGACCCTTACTAGATGGGGTCTCATCCCAAACCTCTTCTGCGTTCTTCAAATCATGGGATCCTTCACCAAACACTCAAAACCGGAAAAGCAGGAAAGAGCATCTGATTCTAGCATAGGATACAGCCCCTTAAAATATTCTTCTATTTAAATTTGTGTTGACTATCTTTAATTCCCAAATTGTTCGTTGTTTTAAATAAAAATGAAACATAGTCATATTTATTCTCATTGTTTCAGAATACTTATATCCCTTGGTATGGGACCCTCTGGTGGACCACAACTAGTGTCAGAATAGAGACCTGACTCCAAATAGCCACCTTATCAGGCCGGATGGTCCACTTGGCTCGTTCCTAGATGTGTGTCAGTGCTTCGGAAAGAACATTTGACCTGTGGGCTCCAAAGTGGTCAAATACTCAGTGGTTATAAGGGCAGTGGTTGTTGGAGGTGCTGGCAGGAGCCACTTTAAATCCGTTTAGGGCCTTTATCCATATAAACCATTTCGGAGGCATAAGTACCCTTTGATCATTAGTATGCTGTCATAGGACCTTCCCCATAACTTGCAGTGGTTCATCCTTGGGAAGGGGATCCATTGTCAAACAGATCGCAGAAAGCACCTTTGCCTTCTCACTGCTTTGCACATGGACTTGCTGACCTGAGCAGAAACCAATGGGAAAAGGCCTGAAAGTCAGCCTTGGACCTTCATGGTTTTGTGTTTCTGGTCATAAATGGAAAATGCAAATGCAAATTCCAGATTATTTAAAAAAAAAAACAAAACAACTCTTCCCAGTATAAACCTGACCATAAAAGGAAGGATAATTCTGATCCTGCTGACCTTTCCTTAGGAATATCTAAAAATACTTTATTTTATATGATGTGACTCAAGACGCCTATGACGTGTAGAGTGTTTGTAGTGTTGTAATAAATTTCAAGTCTGCTTGTTTAGTGCAGGAGACCAAGACCCAAGATGGCCTTTTAGTATCGTCATTATCAAATCCTTGGGACAAGATTTAAGACCCTGTTCATGCTACATATTTTTGCTTTAAATCTTCCCGAATGAGGAGGAGGGTGAGATGGGGGTATCAAACAATTACTCAAGACCTGAGAAAGTCTCCAGGCTCCATCCTCCTGGGAGCTCTAGCGAAGGAGCCAAGTTGATGGATCTAGAAAATATGAGTCAATCTGAATTTAAATATGGAAGTGTCTAGTAACTGAGAGGGTAATATTTTTCTTCCAATTTGGAATAATAGTCTTTTTACTTATATCTTCTTAGACCAAGGCTAGCTAAGTCTCAAGGGTCTGGCGTTAGCTTTGGGAACATCAACTTCTCTCAAAAGTTCATAAATTATTTTTTATGGAGAGGTTCAAAGGCACATGGCAGTTTACCAAGCCCTAAATGGAAGCCAAGCTAGAGGATGGAATTTAAATTTGAGTTGTGTAGCAACAAAATATCAGCTGCATGAGAAACTCTCCAATCAAAATACATCACAGGATTAAAAAGTATACCTGTAGTGGAAGACCATGTGGAGGAAGGGAATTTAAAAAAGAGGCCAAAGATGTCCTCTCCTTCCAAAAGCCTTCTCAACCTCCAGGTTGAGTCAGTCTGTACTCATTCATAGCTCTCAACACATTCCACCACTGTGGACTACTGAAGTCATGCAGTATGTCTGTCAACTGTATTCTTGTGCCTAGTGTAGTATTTGTTACTAGTAGATGATCAATTAGTGTCTGCTGAATGAAGGAACGAATGAATGAGCAATGTCTTTGAGTTGTGTAAAACAGACATTCATTCTATTGAACACATTCTGACATTGGCGTCTACATTAATTTTCAAGTGAGGAATTGTGGGGAAATAAAGGCAACAGCAAAATTCTTAGGCCACAGGTAGATGTGTAAAAAAAGCAAGAGAGAGAGACTAGGAGGAAAAAAATCCCGAAGAAAAGCCTCGTGCTTCTTTATGGTTTTTTTGATGAGAAGATAACACAAATGTCTGAAGAGTGATGAGACAGAAAACAGTATTTATGGATTACTGGCATTTAATGAAAGTTATAATTCTTTTGATCACTCTGATAGAAGAAAAATTAATATTCTAAACTTTATTATAAGTTGAGAAGTATAACCGATGCACATGCATGCACACAATCTTAAAATCCATACCTACCTTCAAATGTATTGTGCTAAGTACTACTTCACAGTGAAATAGTACTTAGCACAAGGCCCTGATCCTTCATGCATTATGTGAACAGCAGAAACCGGCTACTTGAGAGTGACACATCCTGAGAATTTCAAGAATCCTTAAATTTATGAACATCCCTATGGTGTGTCATATCCTCAATAAATCTAAAGCACAATTGAAAAAAGAGGGGGAGTTCTTCAGACTCTTAATGAGTCTGTAAATAAAGGATTAGAATGATTTATAAAACTGTTTTTTCATCAAATTGTTAGACTACTTCACTTTTTCTTACTTCTATCACTAGTCCTACCAGTTGGCTACTTTTTTAGGGCCATTAAAGTACATATTTAAAAAAAAATCATTGTACTTCTGTTTAAAGAATCTGTACCGGAGCCATGGCAGATGTTACAATGATTCTAGGCTGCAATACTGAGAAGTGTGTGCTGGGAGGTTGGCTAGGCTCACTCACTAGCTTAGTGATGGTTTTCTCCCTCCCAACCTTGTAATGTCTATGATTTGACTATATGCCTCTGTAAAATGACAAATTGTGTGTGTCCCTGACTTTTGAGGTCATTTCAAATAGTTGAAACCAACCTTCAAGACCACAAATACCTGAAGTCCACCATCTATATAGTTCTTTAGAATCTAATCACTTTTATCTGAAAATATTCATTAAAACCAAATGACCGAAAAGGAAACCAGAAGTTGTGAAAACTCTATAGGTGATTCCAATGAATACATGTTTTAAAATGCTCTTTGAACTCAATTCCAGACAGTATCAGATATTTTCAGAGTAACGTTATATCCATTTCCTTAAAAACAAGTGGAGAATGTTCAGCACAAAGAGATGTAAGAATTTTTTGCTAAGGTCATTGAGCAAATCAAGGGAGCAAATAAAGTTCCTATATTCTAAGCCCTGAGAGAGGCACTCTATGCTTATATATAGGTAGACATCAGAATGCACTATCCTGCAGAGACAATATTCTGCATGGTGATTAGCCTCGCAAGTCAATCTGGAAATAAAAAGCTTGTTTAACCCATATTGTAGCTGAACTCTTTCAATCATCGAATACTTATGAGGCACCGACAGCAGGTATGTGTCAGCAGCATTGTACCAGGTACTGGGGATGTTAGTGCGGCCCTACCCTTAAAAAGCTTGCAGTCCAGTGGAAAGGAAAGTCTAATAAGTAGACAGTACTGTGAGAGTAGCTGTGATGGGGGTAAGCACCGGTGCAACGTGCACATGTGGAGGGGGCTTGTCACCCAGTCGGCAGGGTGGTGGGGGGTCAGGGAGGGTAGGGATGGGGAGGGCAGAGAAGAGGAAGCAGAAAAGCCAGGTGCAGGGAGGTGAGCATGAGAACTAAATTGGGAACCGAAGGATTCGTAGGAGTTAACCAGGAAAAGGGCTAAAAATCGGGGATAACAGAGAGTAGAATGGTGGTTGCCAGGGGATTGGGGAGGGGAGAAGGGGGAGTTGTTTAATGGGTCTAAAGTTTCAGTTTTGCAAGAAGAAGAGTTCTGGAGGTTGGTTGCACAACAGTATGAACGTACTTAATGCTACTGCACTGTGCTCAAAATGGTTCAGACGGCAAATTTTATGTTATGTGTGTTTTACTATAATTAAAACAACGTTGGATAGGAGGAGATGAGGAATTGTGCTCTAGGCAGAGGGAACTAGGTGCAAAAGCTTGGAAATAAGAAAGAAATTTGCATTAAGAAGGAAATTTGTCTTTCAGTTATTAGGAATAGAGAGGAGAAGGAATGATAGTTTCTTTCCCTTTTCTGGACGTAGAGCTTGCCAAGGGGCGATTCTGTAATAGGCTGTTTGCCTTTGGCATCCCATCAGTTCCCTTTCTGCGCTTCTCTCCTAGTGCCCCCGTTTCCATTAGCTGGTGTTCTTCCCTTCATCCAAGCACACCAGGGTACCCCACCAGCAGGAGTATTTCAACTCTTAAAACTCTACTTATATCCAAATTACTCACCTCTATTTCCACCTCTAGCAGAATTTTCAGTCCCTCAGAACAGCTGTTCTCAGCTAGGTTGTAAGAGGACAGCTATCTGATTCAATTAATTTTTACTAAATTGTGACAGACTATTAGCTTCTCAGAAGTATCAGTATTTTAAGAGGATGCTTCTTTATCCAAAGTAAATATTTTATTGGTGAGATTTTAATAACAGAATTAAGTAAAATTGTAACATTTTAGGCTATATTAGGAAGAATATTTTGGTCTAAAGATTTGTCTCAAGAGTTTGGTTCTCTTAAACTGTTACTTCTTTTCAGGTTCTCCTCTTCTCCCCATAGTATCTCTAATAGTTGCAAATCATTTTCTGTGTTACCCACAAAAGGGTATCTGGTGCTGTAAGGGGTAACAGAGGAGAAAACGGTGTTCAACAGAAGCTATTTGTTTGTATGGGTCATTATTAAGTCAAGGACTTCCTAATCTCTCACATATTGTCTGGTGGAAACATGCCTATTTAGATCGATATCACTACTAACCATGCATAGTAGTAAAAATGCAGGTTCTTAGGGTTCAAATCCCCATTTCACTAATTTGTGTGACCTTGGGCAAGCTACTTAACCTCTCTGAGCCCTATTGTCCTGGATGAAAAATGAAAATGATAATAAGATTTACCTCCTATCATTACTGTGAGGATGAAGTGAAATAATGACTGTAAAGGACCCAGCACGATGTTTGGCATGTCAGATCACCATCACCAGCCTCATCGCCTTCATGACAGGGCTCCTTTAAGAGCTACATTGGCCCAGTTCTAACCAATGTGTGAGAATGAGCAGAAATGACATTGAAACTCTTCTCACCGTGGTCAGGATGTCTGCCCGAGGAAGATGGCAACAGGTAATGCAGAGGGCTAGACTCCCAGGCATTTCTCTGCTTACTGATTTTGAGATTGGCAAGGATAGGATTGTGCCTTTTTTTTTTCTAGTTTTGCAATGTCTGGCAAAAACAATTCCCTCCACCCAACTCTGGCTCCAGCCCTCCATCTGGGCCATTGCTTCCTGTTACTATAGCAGGTCCCCATGCAGGATTCATTGCTGTCTGCCCCAAAATAAGCAGCAAGGAAGACCACACACATTTCTCTGTTAATCAAAGACTATTTTAAGGATAGGGAGAATGTCTCTACGTATTCATCCCTTCCCCCTGGTCTGAAGCAGAAGCAGCCATGTCTGTGGGTGGAGGATGAACTACAAAGTCAACCTACACTCTCAGTGTTTGTATATCTCTCTATGGGGGAAATAATATGGAAGGAATCTTGGAAGAGGCAGAACTGGTATCAGTCCTCCACTCAAAATACAAGCCTGAGGGCCTTTTCCAGATAGTTTCCTAGTTTGTGGTTGTGCACAACTCTAGGGGTCAATGAATTGTGCAGTATACAACCTGTGGAACCCTTAGGACATCCCTGCAAATTATCCTTCCTGGGCCAACTAAGCACAAGCACTTGGTTCAATCCAACTTCTCTTCTTCCCTAATATTTACATGCAGACCATAGCACACAGGGCTGCCCACGAGTAATTCATGAGGACACCACATTTCTCAGGCTTTCCAGGAAGTAAATCCTCTTTCCTACTTATTGGTATATTTGGGGAGAAATTGTACGTTTCTGGAGGTCAAAGTATGACATCCTATGTTCATGAGTCAAATGACATAGAGGAGAAGTAGAGGTGACTTTTTAGGGGAAAAGCTTACCTTTTAGGAGATGCTGAATACTAGCCCCTTTCTCTTCATGGCTGATATTTGAATTGACAGATTCATAGGCTGAAAAACAATAAGGGATTTTGCCTGAGAGTGTGCAAAAGTCTTGAAAAAAGCTATTTTCCTTACTCCAAGACAGGGGAAAACATGAAGTAGATGCCTCTATGCTTAAGCCTTGTAATGAATTGAATGGTTTTGAAAATCCATAGATGCTATTATGGAGAGAAGGTTGATCTAGAATTGAAAAAGCATTGAAGAAAATAATATTTATATCCAAGATGTTTAAAGGTGATACCCTGCTGGGCCCACGATGCCCAAATTCAGAGAGGAGAACTTTTGACAGAGGAAGAGCATGAAACAGTTAATGTTTGACACACGCTGGGAGGAGCTGGCCGGATTTGAACAGCAGATGTGCTGAGGGCCCCAGCATGTGCAGCCATAGGGGATGTGGGCGACGGCAGACAGGTCCGAAGAGCCCCGTCTCCAGCTGTAGCACAAACACAGGGTCTGGGCCAGGGGAGGCAGGAGGGATTCTAGCCAATCTGAGTCCAGCCAAAAAGACTGGACAGAGGCTTTTCCACAGCCCCTGATGATTTTTTTTCCACTCTGAGTCACCTTAGTTGAAATTTATTCTCTTAGCCATCCTTGTCAGTCAGAATGAAAACCACTTGAAACAATGCTGTTTTAATGGCTGGAGAGGATTAGGATAACAGCTGAGAAAGACAGTTGAGGAAGAGGTGACAGATGGAAAGGAGGTCAGGTGAGTGAATTCTAAATGAATGAAGAATCATTTTTAAAGGGAAATTTGGGGGATGTGTGTGTGTGTGTGTGTGTGTGTGTGTGTGTGTGTGAGAGAGAGAGAGAGAGAGAGAGAGAGAGAGAGAGAGAGGTGTGAGATATCAAGGAGATAGTGATATAGGGAAGGAAAAATCACAAGGAGTTCTAGAAAATTCAAATTGGAAAAGATTTAGAGATCTTCTGGCCTAACTACCCACCCAAACTCATTTCCAAATACTTTTATTTGTTTGTTTTTAATTCATTGTCTCATTACTGATACAAATATACTAGAGAGGTTGCCAAAAAGGAATGTTTGGGTTCTATTGATTCACTGCACTGTGGTGGGGCTTGGAAAAGCCTGCCTCTTGGTGCTTTTCCATCTGGGCGTGCACACGCGCAGCCGTGCACACGCCGGTAACTGAGGCTGAGCAGGCAGCTCGGGATTCTGAGAACCAACACTGGGGAGAGAAAAAGCCATAATTAGTGTTAATTGTTGACCTTACAGTTCAAGAATAGATGCTCTGGAGAATGGAAAATGAGAACAAACATTAATTATTGACTAGGGACCTTGGAGACAGACACTCTGGATTAAAAGGAGAGAGATAAATTGCATAATGAATGCTAATTTTCCCTCAAAGAATTGAGTGGTCAGTGGTTGAAAGGGGAAGCAGCAGTGAAAACAGTCATGAAAGAGAAACGGCAATGTGTGTCGGGGTGAGAGGTGCAAGAGGGTTAGACAAACACTTTCCATCACTGCTACCGCCTTGCCCTTTGCTTCTAAGCTCCCAAGAAATTTGCTATCATGGTTTTCCTTAGAACGCTTATGACTTGCCACGCTGTCTGCTTGAAGCTCAGCCATTTCCCTACAGCACACACGCCAGAGAGCAGCTGCCACGTTGCCGACGCAGGGGGGCCCAGGACGCTGAAATCTGCTTTTTATGTGTCGGCGGGAGTTTGACCTGGAACGAGGGAGGCTGCAGGAGCTGTGACCCTGTGTGTGCTGTTGTGGGGATGACGATGTGGCTCCGGGGCCTTACTTGTTGTTTTATCTTCATTACAATATTTGAGACACATACACACTGCCCTGCTCACCAAGTGATCTTAAATGAATAAAAACAAAATAAAGGTAATTTGAGTAGAAGATCAGAGATGAGAACTGTAGCCAACTCTGTAGAGAGACTCTACAAACGGGCTTGTCACTGGGTGCTCAGGTTTCAGAGTGCAGGTTGAGATCCTCACATCCAGGCAGTGGCCCTGGGGACTTTCCCTTCTTGGCAAGGTCTGCCTGCTGCCTTCCATTCAGGCCCTCATCAGCTGTCGCCTGGAGAATTTTGCTGTAGCCTGAGCTCTCTGCCTTTTCTGTTGACTGTTCCTTCACGCTGGTACTCATGTTGGGTTGCATGACATCCCTCAAACATCTGTGATTCCTCATTGCCTAAAAAGCAGCATTTCGGCTCTCTCTTGGCACACAAGGCCTTCCCTGGTCCGGCCCTGGCATGCCTGTCAGCCCCGGCTCCCCCCACCCCCAACCCCGTGAAGCCCCTTCACAGTCCGCTCACGCTGGGCTGCTCCTCATTTCCCACATGTTCTCTACTTTCCTGCCTCTTTGTCTCTGTTCATGCTGGTCCCTTCTCTAACCGTGTCTTTCCCTCCCTTTCTCTGTTTATCCACTTCTACTGATTTCTCAAAGGTCAGTGCAAATTGGGATTCCTCTATAAAAGCCCTGCCCAGTCTCCCAGGCTGGAATTGCTCGCTTCTTCCTTGAACACCCCTGAGTTGTGTTGCTTAGGCCTCTGTTACAGACTCATTTCATCTGCCTTGAGGTAGAGTTAGTTGCTTGTGGATCTGTTCTCTACACAGACTGTGAGGTCCTTGAGGGCAGCAGCCACCATCCCGGTGCAGAGCCTTGGAAAGTGGGTGAGGACAGCCTCTGGGACGGACAGGCCTGCGAATGAATCAGAGCTGTGCCCTTACCAGGTGAGTTAATCCCTGTGTTCCAGTTTCCTCATCCATGATACGTGAATGAGAATACTGACTTCATAGGATTATTGGGATGATGGAATGAGATGGTATACAGAGCACAGTGACCAAGAGCATTTGCTTTTGATATTAACACCCTTCCATGTCCCTTGCACATAGTAGGTATTCAGTACAAGTATCAAAGGAGTCAAATACACATGTAATGGGCCTTCTCTCTTTTAGGTCCAATGATAGTTCATATTGAAAGTTTACTTTACAAGATGAAGTGCAAGTATGATCTGGTTTGATTTGCTCAAAGCAATGTGAAGATTGGCAGATATTATGATAGTTGCTTTATGTTAAGGCACAGGTAAGCTGCTGAAACAAAGAGACCCCAAAAGATCAACATTTATTTCTCTTTCACATGAGTCCAGAGGTAGGTGGGCAGATCAGGGTGGCTCTGCTCCATGAAGTTATTCAGACATCCTGGTTCCTTACATCTTATTGCTCCATCATCCCATAGATCATGGTTTTCTTCCACATGGCTGAAGCTATTTCACCACCACAACCAAGTCCAAGGGGAAGGATGAAGGGGAGGGCAAATAGTTTCCTTTTAAGGAAACGACCTGGAAGTTGCACAGGTTAATTCCATTCACATCTCATTAGTCAAAATTAGCCTTTCACAACCACTCAACACTGTGGTATATGTGCTAGACCCAATTTAGCCTCATGCTGAGCCTGATAGGAATCTCCCATAATTTCTGTTAGGAGAGCTTATTGGTCAGGGTTCAGTGCAGAACAGAAACCATCCAGGTATTTTAAGAAGAAACAGAGCTACTATGGAGAATTTGGTGCTTACAAAGGTGCTGCGGCAACCGCCTCTTGGCACACTCAGTCTTCATGATTTCAAGTAGCCCAGAACTTCCATGCCTCTCCCTCACTCTGCCCTCCAAATCTCATGCAGACATATCTAATTAGCAGAATGTAATGTGCATCCAGCCCCCTGGTTGCAAAGGTTATCTGGGAAATGTAGTTTTTAGCCTTCTAGCCTCTGCAGTACAGGAAGGCCCACTGACAGGAAATGCTGGGTGCCAAGCATATCCAGCCACATTATTCAAATGTTTGACCTGAAGTCACCAGAACTGGTAACATCTGCCAATATTCTTTCTTATGGGTTATCAAACACTGATTGGGCAAAAGAGACAATGTAAATTACTACCACATGGACATCCTCCTACCTTCCTCTACTGCTTCCCACACAGAGATGGATGGATTGTGGATGCTATGATTCAGAACTGATGTTTGGAGAATGAAAATAAGAACAGTCATGAATTATTGAATGACTGAGATCCTGCTTCAGGATTGAGATGACAGAACTGCCCCACAGAGAGAATCTCCTTGAGAAAAGGGACATATTTAGAAACATACACTATTAGAGCTAGAAGGAACCTTAGAAATCACCAGTTTAGCATTTTCCCAAGTGTGTTCCCAAAACTATTTCGATCCACATGTTTTGCTAAAAACAAAAATATTCAGCGGTCAGATAAGATTGGGAAACAGTGCACATCTCCATCTTGAAGAACCATGGTTCACATTAGCATTTCAGAGGCTCTGTGAAGTCCTACAGTAAGGAATCTGCTTAACTTTAGTCCACTGGTTTCCAAATGTATTTGACCTCAGAACCTTTCCTTTTTTACATAACACCTGTTAACCTCCCTAGGGATTGGAGTTCTTTGGGACATGTGCTGCGAGGATTGGATCTAATACCAACTCCTCTTTTTCTATATTAGGAAGCTGAGGTCTGAAGCAGTGAAGTTATTTGCCCGTGATCACAGAAATCGCAGGTAGTAGAGCTGGGAATAAAACCCAAGACTGGACAGTATAGTTAGCCCAGAGTTTGTTCCTCACATGGCCTCTTCTAAAGGAATTTTCCTCCTTCAAGTCTCCAGGCAGCACATTAAGGTAACAGCTGCTTAAAGATAGGCTACTCTAGGAACATCATACCTTGGCAAATACCCCACCAACATGGAAGGGTTCTTTTACCCATGGGACCTCCACAACCACCATCATCACAAGTGACAAATGGGGAGAACGAAGAGAAAGTCACCCATGTAGCATAGGTTTGCCCACAACTGAACAGTGTTTTGGGACCAGCTGGGATATTTTTGGACGCTTCATCTTTGTGTTTACCAAATCATGGACCATCAAGAAATGACACCAAGGCATTGGCGGTATGGTGGTTAGCACAGCTGCCTTCCAGGAAATGACACCAAGTATATTAGTTATCTATTATTGGGAACAAATTACCCCCAAACCTTGTGACTTAAGACAAAAAACTATTGTTATATCTCACACAGTTTCTTCAAGAATCTGGGTGTGGCTTAGGTGTGAGGTTCTGGCGCTGTCTCGCATGAGGTCGGTCACGCCAGCCAGGGATGCGGTCTTCCGAAGACTTAACTGGGGCTGGAGAATCTCCTCACAAGCCTGGAAAGTTCATTCTGGCTGTTGGCAGGAGGCTTCAGTTCCTTGCCATGTAGACTTCTTCCCATAAGTCTGCTGAGTGGCCTCACAACAGACATGGTGGTTAGCTTTCTCCAGAGTGAGTAATCCAAGAGACAGAGAGCAAGGAAGCCACAATGCCTTTTATGAGCCAGTCTGAGAAGTCACACACCATCATTTCTGTCATAGTCTATATTTATTAGAAGTGAGCCAGTGTATGCAGGTTACACTCCAGGGAAGGAGAATTATGTTCTCCCGTTTGAAGAGAGAAGTGTCAAAGAATTTGGGGACATATTTTAAAGCTACCACACCAAGAAAAAGTTGCAAGGGGGAACGACACTAATTAAATGACCAAAAAAACTAAGAAACATTTTGGGGGTAAAAATCCTTTTAGGACAAGAACAAATACTAATTAGAAATTCTGAAAGAGATCAGGAATTTAAATTTACTTAGGACCTGACGTCCCAACCTGAATCATTGGCACAGACACCCTTGAACTTATTGAAATAAAAAACTTCTGAGTAAAAGAACTTCTGAGAGAAAACTTCTCTTGCTGGCTCTGTGACTAGGAGAACAGATGAAGGATTTGAATCAAGGATAAGCAATGCAGAGAGCATATCCAATGTTTTGATTTGTATCCTTCCAAGTTAACTTTTCCTTTCTTAAGCCTTTGAATTTTCTAAGTGTTGCAATATCCCAACATGACCAAGAGGGTCAAATTCCAGCTCCAGTCTTCGCATCTTTTTTTTTTTTTTTAATCATCTGAGGGTTTATATTCATTTTTCTATGCTGTCTGAAAGCAAGATATCATGACCTAATTGCCTAAGAATTTATTTCCAAATAGTTGTTGACAGAGTCTAAAAGTCTCAGAAAGATCAGACAGATCATATTTCTTCTTTACTCAAGATTTTTTTTATTAAAAAAAACCCAACTATGATACCCAAAGAACTTTCCTTTGTGACACCTGGGATATTCAATCAATCAACAAGCATTTCTTGGACATATGATAAAGATAAGAGGTTCTCTAGGACTCATCTATTTGGGAGCTAAACAGGAAACAGATGCAGATACATATAATAATCACAAAAGGGATTGAGAGAGAGACATTGGCTGAGGCTATGTCTCAGCAGTTGTACGAAGTAAGGTGAATTTATTATGGAAAATGTCCTAGAAAAGATGAACTTAAGCCTATTCTAGATGTTTGGGGGCAACTTGAGCAAAGACTTAAAGAGAAAAAAAATGAAGACTGAATGTTTGGGCCATGAAAGAGATGAGAAAGTGGTGAGCTGGAATGTAGTGGGAGATGAGACTGGAAGGGGAGGGTAGACATGATGCTCAAGATGGATTTGAATAAACTGAGCTGCAAAGAGTTTGGTGCCACTGGGAAAAACCCTTTCCCATTAATAGAGACTCCCAGAAAGCTAGACCTGTTCTGTGGATCTACAAGGGGGAGATGTGGGTTTAAGATCCTTCCCCACCCTTCAGGGCACCATCCAATCACCATCAAGACTGAAGATCAACCAGGTTTCCTGTATGTGGAGGAAAGGCTAGAGAGAGGCCAGTGATTGATTGACTGATTTACTGATTCACTCATTCATTCAATAGGTACAGAGCGAATGCCTTTAGATTTGAGAGGCAAGTAGGATTAAATATATGGTCCTTGGGACTGGGACAAGATGGCATGCAAGTCTCCATTTATTCAGGATAAGTTTCATCTCTCTTCCTCTCTCTCTCCCTCCCTTCCTCCATCCCTCCCTCATGTGGAAATTATTGAAATATTTTTATTGAACATTTCTTTGTGATCCTGCTATGTATGTGTCAGGGACTATGCTAGGTGCCAGGGATACTGAAATGACTGAAGCCTCATGTTGATAATGGTGACAACAAACTTACAGCTTGCATGTTTCCTTTTCTGCTTCTGGCTTTTGCTTTGCTAAAAGGGGAACTATTTCTCTTGGAACAGAGTGGGCAAATGTGCAGCAGGTGAACAGAATCATATTTGCTTTCCAGCTGTTATGCCAGCTGTGTCACGCCAACAGTGGCCTCCACCTGTCTAACTCCTGCTTCCGCCAATTCACAACCGATATATTTTTATATTTGTATCATGGTATAGCCCAAGCAGTGATGGAAGTTCTTTGATGCTGAATTTGGAACCAAATGCATTCTACTTTCTGGAAATCCATATAGTAGGTGGTTACTTCAATAGCAACAGACTATTGAAGTGAAATGCAGTAATTGTCAAGGAATTAAAAGTAAAATGCAGTAATTGTCAAGGAACTTCTCAGCAGGGAAACCTCTCATTTTGGATGAGGAACCTTGGACACAGGGAGGATGAAGGACTAACCCAAAGTCATCTGGCAACATAGAAGGCAAGCCAGGGCTACTCAAATTTACTGACTCTGAGTCCATGCTCTTTTTATTAAGCCATTTGTGACATAACCCACCAAATGAGTGCAGCTTTTAATCTTCCTCATCAAGGGGTCTGCTGGCTGTACAACTCATGCACACACATCATGATGGATTCTGGGTGGTTGACACTCATCACCCTCTGACTTCATTTCTTTTTTCCTTTGCAAAATGGCTATTGCCCAGAGCCAGCATCTCTTCTCCAAAAACTTAACATGCCAGAAGGGCTTTTGGAAACTGCCTTGCTATGTGTTAGGAGCCAGATGATTCATATTAATGAACCAATGCACATAACAAGGATACCTGCTTGGATTACCAATTAGCTACCTCCACCTCTGGAGCATGGTTGGAAAGAAGAGAAAAGGCAGTGTTTAGTTTGGGCAGATACCAAAAGGGCTTTATCATTTTCATCAAGGCATCAGCATGGCACATTAGACCTCTTCCAAGCCATTCCACGGGAATTTCTCTCTCCAGATGCTCTAGCAAGAGCAAACTTGTTATGCAAACATTGGGCTATTGTGTCTGAGCTACAGAAGCACCTCTGTGTCAGCGAGAGGGGAGAAACTGGCTGACGTGTGTCTGTTTTTAATGATGTCTCTGCTGTTGGGAAATTTTGGAAGCTGCAGGTAAAATCTCCCTCTCTGAAAACAAGGCTGACCTGGAATGTGTTATCTTACCTTCACTGTATGGAAGCTCCTCAGTTTGTGTAGGCCCTGGGAGGGACAGGCTAACTTTTTCTCCATGTGGACTCAGCAAGATGTGTCCTGGTGTGAGGTCTCTGGAATCCTCTTGAAAATAAGCACAAGCGTGGGCAGTGTTAGCACCAGTGCAGGTGAGAGTGGCTGAGCCTGGCTGTGTTCTCTTAATCCCTGGTGGGAACATGCATGTAGGTGGTGGGGTTCTCAGGGGCTCACCAGTATACAGGGTAAGCCATGCTCCTAGGATTTGGCAGAGCAGAGCCGTTGTTTATAGGGCCAGTCCTCTGGGGGTCAAGGTGGGATGAACAGGGAGTGGCAGCCATTAAGCTATATCATGTGTTTGTTAGAGTATGGAAAAGGTGGTCCTTCTGGGCACTTCAGGGGCAGGAATGGGCTGGTAGGGACACCTCATGTGAAGGAAAGAGAGCCTCTTTCTCCAGGTGTGTGCAGCCTAGCCCCTGGACACAGGGTTTGGTGAGTCCTGCCTCTACTTTCTCTCTGTCAGATGCTTTTCTGTGTAGTACTCGGCATGTACAGCCGTACCCAGTGGACCAAATGCTGGGACTGTTTAGCGACTCCAGGGGCTTGGGCCAAGGAGAAGGAAGCTGTCTTTCCTTCAGTTACTTAGATGGTATTTCTATAACCTTACTGTAAAAGTAAAAACAAATTGTTTTTTCCCTACTCTCCTCTACTGCACAGAACGCTTCTGTGACCAGTTGTGTGTGTGTTTTCCCCCGACCAAGCAATTCTCCAGTGGACACCAACTGGGTATCCTAAAATTAAATTCAATTCTGACATGGTCTACCTGGTGTCTACCTAGTAGTGTCCCACTACTTGGTCTTTGGGTTGGATAATTTGCTAGGTGGCTCACAGAACTCAGGGAAACACTTACTAACCTTTGTTGGTTTATTATAAAGGATATTATAAAGGATGCAGATGAACAGCCACATGAAGAGATGCACAGGACAAGGTATAGGGGTGTGTGGGCAGAGATTACAGGCTATTTCTGGGTGTGCTACCCTCCAAGCATCTCCATGTGTTCAGCAACACACAGTTCGTCAACTCTTGTTCAAGAGTTTTTATAGAGCTGATCTGCGTCCCCCCACACCCCCTTTCTTGAAGGTTGGTGGATGGGGATGAAACTTCCAACCCTCTAATCCTCTAGTTACTTGGTCTTTCTGGTGATTGGCCCCATCCTGAGGCTATCTAGGGGTCCTATCCTAGGTCACTTCATTAGCATAAACTCTGGGGGTCCTACCCTAGGTCACCTCATTAGTATAAACTCAGGGGTTATCACTCTGAATAACAAAAGACACTCCTACCACTCTGGAAATTCCAAGGGTTTTAGCTCTGTGATAGGAACCAGGGACAAAGACCAACTATATTTCATATTATACCATACTTACCATCTCAATCTCCAAGGCAAAGGGCTCAGGAGTAGGGCAGACCAGCAGTTACAGTGGATGCTAGGAGCACACGCACACACACTCACTCTCACACACACACACGCACACCAAGGCATGACACATACTTACAAACACACACATTTGCACAGATGTACACACTTATACACACGCGTATATGTGTGCACATTCTCACAAGGCAAGTGCACACATGCGCAACTGCACACATGCAGGTATACACACGCATACACATCACACATGCACACACATGACACATGAATAATGACAAACACCGACAGATGCACGCATTCACAGGCCTGCATATGTACATGGACATGCACAATCACATACATGCACTCACATGGGCATATAAGCACACACGCACCCCTGTACACTCAGAGACACAGGTATTCTCACATATACATTCACTGACGCACGTGCACACACCCAACATACACACTTGAGGCTTCAGGCTGCCCTCTTGTCACAGTCATGGCCCTAGCATTCTATTCTAATCAGATTCTCCCTTTATAAGGACGTCCAGGAGTAGGAGTGTGTGTCTACTCCTGGTATGATTTGTCCCGGGCTATTATGCATCCTCCTAGGAGCACCCTTGGTGCTAACATGACATTACCTCAAGTTTGGTGTATTTGTATCAAAACTAAAAGAGCATCACTGCCACACAAGCATAAAGGCAAGGGGGTTGTGAAAGAAAGGTTCCAACCCTGAAATGCTTTCTAAGTGAAAAAAATGTCTTTGGGAAGAGAGAAAGAGAAAGAGAGAATGTTGGGAGGGAGGAAGGAGATTTGGTCTTGACCATCTCGGCCTTAAACAAAGAAGCTGCAAAACCAGAATGGAGTTATTGATCTATGTATTTAATGTATGCTTCCAAGAATTCAACTATATGTGCTTTGGGGAGAGAATGAGAGAGAGACAATGAGAGAGAGAGAGAGAGAGAGAGAGAGAGAGAGAGAGAGAGAGAGAGATAGATATTTTGGGATAGTGAGGCATTCTGTCCAGGAGTGAGCAGGAAATGAAAGACGTGGTACTTGTTGTCTTCCTGATGGCTCTCAGTTCCCAAGCACCTCTCAAAGTGTGAATTTCTCGCAGCCCTGAGTGTGATTCTGCTATTAACAGAGAGACCACTTACTTCCCACAATCTGTCTTCCAAACACATGCCATCTCCTTCATCTGGTGCTCAACCAGAGAAAGCAGCCCAAGGCTCCAGCAAAGGAGGAACAGCTTATGGGGCTGCGCTTTCTTGAAAATAATGTCAGTCTCCAGCATGGCACCTCCCTAGGAATGTTCAGGCATAATTTGGACTCTAAGCAATTTGCACTTTATGAGCTACCTTGAGATCAAAGCCCAGTGGAAGCTGCTGCTGCACTGTCCTTGCATTATTGCTCTTGTGTAAGCATCCTGGGCCATTCCCTGACTATCAACTCCTTAAGCATAAGAACTATAAGTGGGGCTAAGTCATGGGGGACATGGCCTTACCCCCACATGCCAGTTGGGTCTCCACATGCCATCTTCCTGAAGCATGAGGTATACCACTTCCCTTTTCTCCCCCAAACTACCAGTCCTCTCCTCTCTACTCTATGTCATTTCTGTACAAAATATCCAAATTCCCTGCCTAACCCTTCAGTAGAAATCCAGGGTCCTTCCCTCTCTGTGAATAGCCCTCGGGCTCTGCCCTGGGCTGGAGGGTGACTTCCTATTTGCAGAGTCACCAGGCTACCTTGTCCCCAAGGGGAGAGTATGCCTGGTAAATCCAGGAGCGTGTCTCCCCTGGAGTGCAGAGAGCTACGTCATCACCTGCCACTGCCAAGAGCACAAAACAGCCTGGGAGTGCGTGTTGGTGCACAAACCCTTAAAACATGTACCGACTCTTTAGGAATATGTGTGGTGAACGTTAATGACACTGACCTTGTTGGAAACATTGTTGATTTCTCCTTTTCAGCGGGGTGCCTTTCAGAGAGCTTACCTCCTGGCTGCCACACAGCCCTGGAAATGAGCCGCAGACAAGCCAATGAAGGGGACATCCATGCACCCTGGGAGTGATTACCTTGTCCTGCTGGCAGTGCCCTCCTGGGCGGTCTCACATTCAGGGGACCTGCAGGGCTGCTGCGGCCTGATGTCCTGGGGCTGTCCAAGCTCCTCTGGCTCTCTGGACTTTTTCTTCCTTTAATTAGGGGTGGAAGACCCCGTGGTGGGACCACATTCTGGGGAGGGGCAGCACCATCTTCAAAAGCAAAGGGGAAAAAGCATGAGAGAGAAAACTTCTGAATCAGCAGGAAGAAGAACAAACCTCTTTTCTAACTTATTGATGGCTCCTGGTGTTTAGGATGGCTTATTCCACTCGTTCTCAAGTTTGTCCCTCTTTTCCTGTTCTCCTAAGGAGTAGGGACCTGATAACTCCCATGGCCAGGATGCAGTTACTCTTGGCTAGAACACTGGTCCTTCATTTGGGGGGACTGAGAAGAATTGGGAGGAATTGAGTTGTGGGGCTTGTTATTTTCATTTTATGGATGGCATCCTAGGGAGGCTGTGAACTCCTCCCAGCCCCAGTCTGAAGGCTCTGCCTAGGGAGGATCGAGCTTTAGAGCTCATGGGATTTTTGGATACAAATTTCTAACCACAAAGCAATTTTTCCAGGCAGAGCTGAGAAAAGTACCAAAGGTACAAAGTAAGGTACAAAGTACCACCCTCCAGATGGTAGTCAGTGGGTATCAGGATTGATGATAATGCTCCATAAAGCAGATCCGACCCTCTACTCTGTTCTGTCTTCTCAAAACCAACAGGGACTGCTCTAGGAAGGCTGAAACCCAGGAATCTAAGTGACTGAGGCTTTGGCTTCATGTCTTTCAGAGACAGTGGTCTTTATTTCACGTTCAACACTGTTGCTATTTGGGGTTAAAAGCTGGCTTCACACAGTCTCAAAATATCACAGACTACTTATTTATTACAAGGGGGAAAAGTATCCTTACAATCTGGAAATCTGGCAGATGCCACCTTTAACCAGATAATGAAGTTTAACATCACCTATAATGGAACAAACTGACATTTGTGTCCCTTGATAAGATGCATGAAGGAGGACACAGCATCGTCTATGTGATATTCCTGCAAAAAATGTTTGTTTTGAATCTCATTATGAAGAAACAGATGAATCCAAACTGAAGGTAATTCTGCAAAGCAACTGACCTGTCTTCAAAAATATTGATGTCGTGAAAAATAAGACTGGAGAACTCTTCTAGATTAAAAGATTCTAAAGAGGTGAGACAGCTAAATGCAATGCATGATTTGGAGTTGAATTCTGGATTTTTTTAAAAAAAGCTATAAGGAATATTACTGGAAAAATTAGAGAACTTTGAATATGGATTATATATCAGAAAATAGTATTGCACAGGTATTCACTTTCTCAAGTGTGGTAATTCTATTGTGATTTGGAGGGAGAATATTCTTCCTCTTAGGAGATGGGAGCTGACAAAGGATAAAATGCACAATGTCTGCAACTTACTCTCAGATGGTTCAGCAATAAAATAAAATATATGTGTGTGTTCGTAAAAACTGGCTTCATTTCTGTCATGTTAAAGGTGAAACAATCCTGGGCTAAACAAGTAAATGGGTATGTGTGACTTCTGTGGGACAGTCCCACTTATTAGCTCTAAATACCCTTGCACCAGAGACCGCTGTGTGAGAGACTGCCATGAAAAATTTGTCTCTTTGAATCCCTTTCCTTACATATCTACTACCAGGTTGGGTCACATTCTGAGCTAATTCACACCCAGGTATCAGAGAATTGTTAGATCAGCTTCCTCCTGGCAGAGTGGCATAGGATGGACAAGCTCTAGATACTCAGTCCGTGGTAGACATGCAGCTCCAAACAAATGGAGGCAGCTCAGGGTGAACACTGAAGGTGAAATTCCCCAGTGTTGTGGTTCATCTCGGTGGCTCCGGCTGTGCACTTGACAATGGGGCCCACAGGTGGAAGGCTGCACACGAGTGACCCCTACCCATATCTGGATTTTTTAAAAAGGAAACTTCAAAGTCTTGAGGATGATTAACTCTCACTTAAGAGATAGACTAAATAAGCCTCTGCCCCCATAATCAAAAGACTTTCTCAAAACCTAAATGTTTCAAGAACATCCTGACCTGGGTTCATTTATTCTGGGAAGCAGTGCAGTGTAATGGGTAGAGCACGGATCCTGCACTAGTAGGTCTGAGCTCCAGTCCTAGTGAGGCCACTTATAGTTGTGTGACCTCAAACAAGTTACTTATTGCTCAGGGCTTCCATTTTCTGATCTGTAAAATGAGGGTAGGATCGTTGTGAGGGGTACCTGAGATAGTGCTGTACATGTTAAAAACTAAGAGCAGTGCCTGGCACAGAGGAAGAACTCTATACACGTTAATGTGCTTCCTTCTACTTCTGATACCACTAGTCAGAGATCACTTGGTATTTGTGATGCTGTCATCTTGCACATGCCTTTTGGAAAGGAGGCTCAGTTTTCTGAAAATGGGGAGCTTTCTAAATATGGCCCATTACTTCAAAACTACCTAACACATAAAAATGTATGCTTGATGCAACCGTGTGCAGAATTTCAGACATCCTTATGATGTTTAGAAAAATTGGAGTGAAGACTTTTATTGAAATTATGGACTTTTTAATGAATAAATACATATTCACAAAAAAATTAGAAATGAAATTTCATTGCTTAAAAACATAGTGTTAACTATAGGGTATACAGCAAATTTTTCGTAAGTTTGGTGCCGTTTTATATCTGCAACCAGAAAATATTAGTAGGGGGATGATTTAGTCAGTACTTTGTGAGCTAGACACTAAGTTGGCTGGTTACGGCAGCTGCTGCCTGAACAAAGCTATCTTCAAGTGGCTGGGGATGAACTAACCTCCCTTCCAGCCTCCTTTTTCTTGGCTGAGGACCCTTGTGTGTCTTGCCTTTCTTCCCTTCAGACTGAGATTCCTGTGGGATGCTGAAGGGAGCGAAGAGCTACCTTGAGGTGAGAGTGTGTCCCTGCCCGTGTCCACTGGGAGATACACCGTTAACCCCCTTGGCCTTTCTAAGGACACGTGTTTCGGGGGAGGCCTCCATGAAGGCGTAGCCTCTTCTGTTGCTGGTTCTGACTCAGGGTATGGCGCACCTAAGAGACAAAGAGAAAGCCAAGTTGTACATGTCTGTTATTTTTGCCTGGTGTCTCTTCTTTTTGGGGACCTATCCCTCCCCTGGGTTGAGCCTTGTTCATTCCATGTCTCCAGGGATGGGCATGTGACTGAAGCCTGGCATATGACAGTACTTCATTTGCCTTAGCCACAGTGATTAGTGCCGGGGGAGCACAGGACCTAAGCCTTGCCAAACAGAGGAGATTTGGGGACTTTTGCAAGAGCTTTTAAGAGGTATATTCTTTAGAGAGGTTAACAGGGAGGAGGTTACTGTGGAATTGCAGGAGGACCACATGGAGAGGGCCTGCTTGAGTGAAAAACCTAACAGAGCTGAGTGACATAGACAAGTACTGCCTGGATGGTATTTTCTGAGACCTGGATCCAAGTGGTACTGAAGTTAGCTGATCTTTGCATGAGCTAATACTTTTCTTTTTTTGGCTCAACACCATTTGAATTAGGCTTCTGATGCTTGTAACTGAAAGAGTCCTCACTGACATGTAAAAGAAGGAAGAATTCAATGGATTCACTTTCTTTGTACTTTATTTGTATTTTTCATTTGGCAGTGTGTTGGCAGGTTCAATGTATCTGATAGGTTTAAGAATCTGGTTCATGATGGCCTGGTGGTCTTCCTAAGGGTCATCATGGAAAATAACCAGATTTAACCCAGTCGTATGAATAGTCTTTTCTCTGTTTTAAGTATGTCTTCTTATTCTGATGTTTTGACATCTGGGACCTTACCAACCCTGGGGAGACTGGCCCTCCCAGGGTTAGCCAATTTCTAGAGGTAATAAATGACTCACCTGTGAACACACCTGTCACATGCAAACCAACCAATGCAGAGTCCCTAATCCCCAAACTACCTCCTATATTGAGCTCTCATACTTCTGGGTCACTATCTTCCTGCCCTAATCACCCCAGGGCCAGTATCAGACAACTAGGAACAGCCCCTATGCTTCAGAGCCCACTGAATTATTCAAACTAGCCAATCCTAAATCTGCTTAGCCTGTTTGTCCTTCCTTGACTGTTCCTTCTGCAAGAACCACAGTAAAGACTCTTGCTCCTATTCCCTCCTTTCTGCCTCCCAAACGATACTGGTGCTCCCCGCTGTGGCCCTGCATGCTGTGGCATGCCCCCCTTCACTCGGGAACTGTGAGTAATAAACTATCTTTTCAGATAGATAGATAGATAGATAGATAGATAATCATCTCCTGATTTCTTGGCCTCATTAAACCCGAATAATAAGTCCTACATTTCAAAACACTGTTTTTTTCTTCTTGAGGAACTGAGTAATTTTTTTTGGAAAGGTAAAATCTAAATATAGTGAAATGCACAGACCTTAAGTGTGTAATTCAATGAGGTTTTTTTTTTCTTTTTTAAAAGATGACCAGTAGGGGATCTTAACCCTTGACTTGGTGTTGTCAGCACCACGCTCTCCCAAGTGAGCCATGGGCTGGCCCTTTCAATGAGTTTTTTTTTTTTTTTTGTCTTTTTTCGTGACCGGCAACGGGATCGCAACCCTCGGTGTTGCCCCCACTCCTCGCTCAGCCAGTGAGCGGCCAGTCTGTATGTGGGATCCGAACCCTCGGCGGGAGCGCCGCCGTGCTTCCCAAGCAGTGCACTATAGCAGTGTGCCACCGGGCCGGCCCCCCTTTCAATGAGTTTTGACAAATATATATACCACAAAACCAGCCAAGATTTAGTACATTTTTATCACTCCAGAAAGTTCCCTGATACCCCCTTCTGCTTACTGGTCTTTGAAGCTCAACAACTAGGCATTTTTCTTCATAGAGAGAATTCCAAACAGCCATAGAACAAAATGGCTGCCTGTATGATTCCCAGGAGTCAAAACTCTCTAGGAAATCAGTGACAGTTTCTGCTGAAGTTTCTAGAAATCTCAGAACTAAAACTGCCTCATAATTAGAGTCACCTTTTGCTTCAGACTGCCCAGAGAAGAACAGCAAGAACATGTCTTAGGCAAGGGTAATATAGTGTGACTGAGGAAAGGCGGAAAGAATTTCTACTTGTGACACAGGGTGAGAGGTCACTCAGAAACCTCCTCCAAAAAGCCTTCCTAAGTCTCCAGTTGGAACTGATATCTTCCTTGCCCATACTCTCTTAGAACTTTGCTTAGAAGCACAAAGTCTTTGCCCTGACAAGGATTATAGGGGTTATCTGTTACATAATAACCTAATTCAAAATCTGGAAAATGACTCTCTGGACAAACATTTATCTTTCTTTTATAAAACGAAGATTCAAAGATCTAAGTATACTTTCTACCTTGGCTGCCAGGAAACTCAACTAAAGCCATCGTTTACCTAAAATGATGAATCCATCCCAGATGTGTAATAGCATCTATTTCTCTGCTCCTTTTAACCAGGTTTTTTTTTTTCCTATCTCAATTTTGTATTGTTTTATATTGTGTTTATTTTTTTGTTAGCTGCCTGAAAATTCATTCAACTTATTTATGTGTATGCCTGTCTTTCATGTGTATGAAAGGCTCAAAAAATATTGAAAAAATCAAATTGAATATGACCAGAAGAGACCTACTTCTAAATTTTACTCTTTCTTCTTTAAAATAAAATTATCTTAAGAGGTTAATCCTGGGGCAGGTCAGCTATTACTTGAGAGTGGGATGGATTGGCAGGACCCTACATCCCAATTCTTCCTGGTCTGCCTGAATTTCCTCAGGAGTCCACTGGGACCTACCTCTTCTTTTTTGGGCTTTTTCTTTTGGTGGGAGTTGGGTGTGGAAATGAAGCTCCATTGGGAAGATGAAGAGCTCTGTTGGGGGTTCAGTGGCCTTAAATTGGCTGTTCAGGGGGTCCAGGACTCTGGGTGGTTCTTCAGAGATAGGAGGTAATTTCAAAGCCTTCGGTGCCTAGGGAAAATTTAAAAACAAAGCCAACATGGTAGGTATTAAAACTCTGCAATCTGCAGGGGGCAAATGATACTGTATCTTGCATCTTATGTAACTGGGAACTGCTGGGAGAAGCAAAGCTAACCAAACTAAGAGCCGAGTGTCTGACCTCAGTGGCGCTGCTGCTTCTCTTGGGAGCTCAGTATATGCCGCTGTTAATCCAGCCTCTGATTCCACTGAGAATTATAAACATGATAAATTGAAGAGTCTTTGAGGGATATAGCCTTTTTTTTTTCTTGCAGCCAGGGAAACTGAGCCAGATTGAGATGATATAGCTGAATCTCTACGTACCAATAGGGAGAAATCTCTGCATATGTTGTTAAGGGAAAAAAGCATGGTGCAGAACATTGTTTGACTGTGCAACCTCTCAGCTAAGAAGGAGCAGAAAATAGGAATATGCATTTGTGTTTGCTTACCTTATGTAACCTCTCTAAGCCTCAGTTTCTTCCTCTGTAAAATAGGAGGAATCATACTACCAATCTCATATGATTGTTGTGAGGATTAAATGAGCTAATATGTGTAGTTGACAGTAGAGTTTGAAATTAGAAGTATTTCTATGACATTTCTTTGAGGGTAGATGCTCTTCTCATAGAGTTCAATACCCAGTCTAGCCACTAGTAGAAAACCTGAGCTTCTCCACACTTCTGCAATATGAACATAGCTGAAAAAGAATCACCGTGTGTCAGAATCAGCGACTAATTTGGGCCAGTTTTTTTCTGTCCCCCCAAAGTATATATGTATATATACATACACACATACGTATATAAGAGAGACACTCTAGTAGTTAGAGCTTCCTGTTTCCAATTATTCAGAAGTTGCTGAAAATGTTTCTTTTTAGTTTGTAACTTTTAATCTGTGAACGTGTCTCTATGAAGTGTGTATGTGTGTTGGGTTTCAGAGATTTCAGTTTCATAGGAGGAGAAATAAAAACATCAGGCCTCCTGTTTGTTCCTGGTCCAAAGGAACCTAGGAAGACAGAGGCCCTTCTGGTGTCTCTTTTTTAGTGCTCAAAAAGAAAAAAATAATCAGAAACACACATACGCGTCCTATGTGTTCAGAGTTGATTGAGGAAGGAAATTCAACCAAATATATGCAGAGTAATATTTACAATTTTGAGACATTAAGAAAATGATTAACCAAACATATGCACATAGGATCTTTATGTTCCTGGAGACCTTCACTGTCCAGGTGCAGGCTGCCCACCAACTGCCCTTTTTTTGAATACTGACCTTGTGCATTTTGTTGACAAGGTTTGCACTGAGAAATCTATGTGGAAACTCAAACCATTGGTGTGAGGTATAGCTGACAAGTCAGGACTTCATTTCTTTATCCTCGTGAAACGTTTACACAGAGTTTTAATACAGTGGGGAATATTGCTTTCCTTCGTTAGCTGTATGCATGGGTTGTGGGAAGGGATGCCTTTCCTCTGAGGCTGGCTCGGTTCTGGGCTGACCCAGGTGTGACATCGAGGGCTTTCCTTAGGCCTGTGGTGAGTCTGGCAGGTCAGACCTGCCCTTTACTTCTGGTCCAATGGAACCTGGGGAGACAGAGGCCCTTCTGGTGTGGGTGGAAAGGTTTAGGTCAGCTCAGATACAGGAAATCTGAAAAACTCCTGAACAAACTGAAAACAGCCTCCGTCATTGACGCCCGGACCACCTGGAGTGCCCACGGCTCCTTCAGGGCCACTTCAGATGACACGAATCCTCACAGTTAATTAACAGTGATGCAGTTCCCAATCTGTACACAGATAAGGTCACTGTGGCTCAGAGGGTGTCAGTGGCCTGCTCACGTTCACACAGCTGCTACGGTGCAGAACATTCTGGAGCCCTGCTTGTTCCCATTCATCACTGGTGCCTCCAAACCACTGAAGACCCACATAGAATTGCAAGGCAGAACCAAGCCAGAGACAGCCAAGGACATCTCTAAGGAAGAAGGTGTACAAGTATTTAACTTCTGAAGGGGGTTGATAAACCTGCAAAATTTACTCCATATCTTCAAAGGTGACAGACCCTCAATTAGCAAAACTATCAGTGGATTCCAGATCTCCAGGACTTTGAGTTTGAAGTGGATTAACTGCGCACAAGCTCAGATCCTGTCCTTACATGTTTATAGACAACCCCCGGCCCCTCAACAGGACAAAAGGTTCTGTTGCCACCAGAGAGAGTGTGGTAACAGCATTTGCTTTAAGGAAGAATTGGGGGAAGCTGAAATCCCTTGTACTTCATGATTTTTTACATTTAGTGAGTTACTACAATTTCATTCCAGTTCCATCTGATGAGCTCAGAAGCTAGAGAGGCCATTGCTCTGTTGAGATATCCCTTTGAGTCAGCTTGTTTCTAGATTAGAATTAAACACACACACACACACACACACACACACACCTTTTTCTTCTTTGTCTCCCCCGTGGTGTTTTTTTCCAAGCCAGTGGCAGGTCCTACAGGAGGGAAAAGGCATCTTTCAGCAGGTGGCTCCTGTAACAAGTGGCTGCATCTGGCCTTGTGGGATTTCATATACCCTCGTTTGTCTGTGGAAACAGGATGGGAATTGAAACTTATTTGTTGCGGGTATGGGGATGAACAGTTGACTTTCAATTTTTATCACTTTTTGGTTAATGGGAAGACAGGCAAGGAGAGTTGCAGTGGTACTGAGCCAGCCACAGCTTTGGCTGACGTAGGTTTGGGGAGCCCTAATGTCATTATGTGGGTTGGATTCCTGCTGGCTGAGTCAGGTGATGGAGAGAGTGATAATAATAATAATAACTATGTACTGATCACTAAACATGGGAAAAAATGATGCAAAGTATTTTATAAGCATTAACTCACTTAATCCCCACAACAGCATTATGGGAGTATTATTATCCCCATTCTACAGATGTGGACACTGAGCCTCAGCAAGATTAAATAATTTGCCCAAGATCACAGCTAGTAAGTGGGGGATAATTTGAACCCAGGCAGTCTGATTGCAGATTAGCACTAGGCAAAAAGAAAGCTGTCAGTCTCATTCCCACATCCAACTGGACTCTGGCTGTTATTTTCTAAGGTGAGTGGCACAAGGAAGTGATATTCACCGTGCTTCAGTGCTCCCAAATGAACTCTGCACGATTAGGTTTACCCCGATCAATGAGTAAAACGCTTGGCTTCTTACCGCTGAGATCTGCCTTCCTATTGGGGAAGGCACCTCCGTAGAATGTAATGTGGGATTTGTCACTCAGGAGCCAAGAATGATCGATGCAGGCATGCTCAAAGGCCTTCTTGGAGGTCTGCTGTGTCTTCTCATTGTGGCCTTTCTTTGAAGCGTACGTACGAACATGATCCCCTACTGATGTGTCCTAGGAACGACAGACACACTTCCTGTAAACAGGTTGTCATGAAGGAACAGAGTGGGTTCCTGTAACAGTCAGCTCTTGTGGCTAGACTTGTGGCTCCAAGCATGAAATTTCTTTTGCAGGCTGGGAAGAAAAACAAGGTTAGAATAGCAAGATAATGCATTTATTACAATAAAACATTTTACTATTGATGATAGAATGACATTTAACCATGACTAGCATAGAGTGCTTTCTTGTCAAAAAAAAAAAAAATCAAAATGAAGTGCTGATATCATTGTCTTTATCCATCATGAACTGTTTCTCTCTTCTCACCTTCCACTGAGTGGCTCTTTCCCCCATTTCCTGTTCTCCTTGGCATATGACCTTCTCATTAAGTCAGACGAGTTTATTCAAGATGGGAGTGGATGTTGTCTATGTTGCTGTGAACGACTGTTGTCTTGCACACACACACGCACGCGCGCACGCGCACACACACATGCACACACGCACGCATGCACGCGCACACACACACACACACACACACACACACACTTGGCTTTAGAGTTTAGAAAAACATTTCTATATGTTTCAACTCATTTAATCCTCATAGTGACCTTGTGAGATATATATAAGAGCTCCATTTTACCAAAGAGGTAATTCACGCTCAAAGTTAAGTTTGCTGGACAGGCTCATCATGCCTAGTAAAAAACAGGACTTAAACCAAAGCTTTTCCAATTATAAGGCCAAGAGTTCTTTTTTTTTTTTTTTACAAGACTGCAGCTGCCTAGATGGGGTTGGAGAGTCAGGGGAGGATTTGTGGTTAAATAAGTTTGGAAACCCCAGAGTTAAACAAAGTTAGGCCGGGACTTTACTATAGAGCTTCTCAAAGCATTTCTTACCCAAGTGTGCACTGTGATGCTCCAGGAGGAGAATACATCATGCAGCATTTCCCCAACATATTTGGCTACAAAACCTTTTTTTTTCATGGAGCATCGGCAATCCTAGAATTCCACAGGTGACCCTTTGGGAAACAGTGGTCAAAAGGATCAAAGTACTCTTCTTGTCTCTGGAGGACCCCAAGAAACAGCGAAGAGAGGGAGATCCCTCTGAAGTCAAGAAGTATAAGGACAGAGAGGAGCCCGTTAGAAATGGTACCTCTGCATGGGTTTCATCTTCCTGCCAGTGCTGCTTCCCGAGTGGTGGCAAGTGAGTCCCCTGACTTCCATGGTTCTTGGCTACAGAGCCCTGGTCCATGTAGCCCCCATCCCCAGATTCCCATTCATCCAAACCCTGTTGACCTGCAAAGGTGAAGAGTGGGTCAGCTTGTAGTCACAGAAATGGGCATGGACTGTTGCTACCTCCAGACTGCCTCCCTTCTTGCTTCTCTGAGCAAAAGTGTTCAAGGCCCTTGTTCTTCCTCCTCCCTTATTTCTGTATTTCTGGTAGTGCCTGCATGGAAATGGCAGCCAGGTCAGTGGAAACAGAGCTGCACTGGGAGTCAGGAGACTCAGGGTTGAGGCTTCATTTCTTGGACATAGCTTCCTCATCTGTAAAATGGGGATACTGATTTCTTGCCTTTGCTTCCTTGCAGAGTGGTCTGGAGCTCAAATAAGACAACAAATGTGACAACACTTTGTAAACCGCATGGTATTAGGGGGTGACAGTGGTGTGATTATGGTGGCATGACCTGCAGCCCTGCTCTGTTGTCATTGAGATGCTCGGCCTAAAGCAAGTCTTGAGTTTCTTGAGCTGTCTCCTGGTTGTTTACTTGTGGAAAAACCTCGCCAAATGCAATGAGGTGGGTCTGCTGCTTAGCTCTCTGGACTTACCCTGTCTGCAGCCCTCAGGAAGGATCTGAGTCAACAGATGACTCCTGCATAGTTAACAAATCTTTCATCAATGGTTTAAAGGGTCCTGCAGCTATTTTCATCACTTACTCAAGGTAGATTTATTGCTGAAAGAGTCTGGCAAAACTTCCTTGTTTGGAGCCAAGCTTTAGCAATACCTCCACTCCCAGCATGGAGCTCTGTGGAACAATGTGGGGTTGTCTTTCAACCAGGGGCTCTGGAAGTCTTCGGGGGCCTGTGTGTGATGGAGCACTGGGCTTCTGGGAGCTCCTCCTCCTTCCCCAGCCAGCTTCACCTTCCCTCCATGTTCCCAACTCTCGCCTCCCTTCATCATGCCCATCGTTAGTGTTGAGAGTCAAATGCCCACATGTGGGGCTACACCCTCCCTCAAGCTTTCCTTCCTCTGCCCACTAGCTCTTGAAGGCTACTCTGGGTTTGAATTGATGCCGAGGGTATTGATAGAAGAGAGGCAAGCTCAGGTTCAGGTTCAGAGGGTCTGCTCAGGTTATAGTGGTCCAGGGAAGCCTGATGGGCCCAGAGATTCCCCAACCTAAGGTGGCCCAGAACCACAGTATGCCTGCCCCACGAGAGGACCTCAACTCCATACAAAGTGCAGCACTAAAGAGCTTTTGGGGTATTCTAGAATGATCCCTTGGGATCAAGCCAGACCCCAGGTCCATTCTTCCTGGTCAGATTTACCTGGAACCAAATGCATTTCTGAGGTTGGAAGACGTGAAACTCTAGCCAAATGGCCACTTACCTAGTGAATAGTCTGATACATCAGAGGGTCTAAGTTGGGGCAGGGGGATATAGAGAGACAGTCTTCTCTTTGACTATCTCCCAGGTGAAACTGAGTATGTGACTCAAACTATGCAAGGAGAAACAAGGATTTTTTTCTCAGTAAACATCACCATATGGCTCGTTTGTTTAATAGAAACAGATTTGCAAGCAAAGTACTCATATTAGAAGTTTTAGTTGTTGAAAGGAGACCACAGATATTAGTCTCTTTATATCTGTACATTATTCAGATCATGCAAATAATGTACAGTGGGTTATCAATCTAGAGCTGTTAGAAAGCCTTTTACCTGTGTTCCCTCTTGTGATTTTTCACCACAGCCCAGGGAGGAAGGAATGCAGACACCATTACTTGCATTTTACAGATGGCAAGCTGAGGGTACAGGGATATAAGTTGACTTGGCCAACATTGCATTGTTGGGGGACTGGGGATTTGCAGCTAGGACTTTTGCTACTTCTCCAGACAAAGTGTTTGGCGAAGAGAGGGAGGCCAAGGGGAGATAAAGCAAAACCAATGGAAACATCAGTCAGGGTTCAAGTTATAGCATCTGAGCTCCTTTTACTTTGTTAAACATGGATTTTTTTTGACCCCTGTGATCATGGGAAATTGGGCACTACAGTTAGTAATTGTGCTTAAAAACCACAAAAACACACAAGCTGGGGAGGTTTATAATTCACATTTACTGAACACTTACTATGTGCCGGCTACCACATATACAACTCCCACATACAAGCCCGTGAGGTAAGGGTGGGTATGATCATCTCCATTTTTTTTTTCCTTTTTGTCTTTTTTACTGACCGGCAACGGATTGCAACCCTCAGTGTCGCGCCGCACCTCGCTCAGCCAGTGAGCGGCCGGTCTGTATGTGGGATCCGAACCCTCGGTGGGAGTGCCGCCGCGCTCCCAAGTGGCGCACTGTAGCAGTGTGCCAGCGGGCCGGCCCAGATCATCTCCATTTTTTTTTTCCTTTTTGTCTTTTTTACTGACCGGCAACGGATTGCACCCCTCAGTGTCGCGCCGCACCTCGCTCAGCCAGTGAGCGGCCGGTCTGTATGTGGGATCCGAACCCTCGGTGGGAGTGCCGCCGCGCTCCCAAGTGGCGCACTGTAGCAGTGTGCCACCGGGCCGGCCCAGATCATCTCCATTTTATAAACGAGGAAACTGAGGACCAGAGACCTTGGACTCTGGTGCAGATGACCACACGTTTAATCATTATTCTATGTTGCCTCTCTGTTTTCTGCCTGATTGTGACAGTTCCTTGGAATATGGCATCAATTAAGGAAGTCACTTGATCCCTTGGGTGTGCAGTGTTAATCTACCCCCCGAAATGAAAGCACTGCAATCCACTGTCCAGTATTTTGAGATCTTAGAGCATCAGAGTCTATGGATATTAACTGGAGACAGGATTTTTGAAGAGAGAGGGAATAAGGCAACCACGAGATAGTGTGCCACCTGTGGAAGGGCAGCAGGTCCCCGCATAGGGGCATTACCTGGGTGAGTTCTCCACTTCCCAGGACAGAGGTGGCCTAGAATCTGATCTCCTTAACCCTCCGGAATCAACTGGTCTCAGGGATGTTGACCCATATCAGCAAAGTGCATAGAGACTGATGTATAGAGCAGGGCATTAATTTATGAAGAGAAATACAATTGCCTGACCAGCATATTTTATGTAGTCAAACTACACGTGGACCAGGGTGTGACCAGAACTCCCTGGCGCTAGAGTAAGACTCAAGAGTATGGTTGGAATGTTCAGTGAAACCAGGTTCTGAGAACCTGCTGCATTCTACACTCATCCAATAAGCCGGATTCTCTACTTATCCTGACCAGATTTTCCCCCAAGGATGGGGCTTAGTCACACACTGTCGTTGTTTCTGGAAAATTCCTTCTTCATTTTAGGAAAATTATCTTTCTATTATGTTCATCTCTTGTTCTTTCCTTTTCTTAGGAATGCTGATCCCAGCCAAGGCCCTAGTCTTTGCTCATTACTGCTACCCAGTCATCTTTTCCCATCTCCCTTACCAAAGGCAACTTCTGGCACTTTTAATGCATCAAGTTCCCAAGAATAATATTGACAGGTAAAATTCCTGTACTACTGAACAGCGTACATAATCTTCTGTGCAGCAATGAGGTAGGTATTATTGTGCCCATTGCAGAGATGAGCAAACAGAAGCTCAAACAGGTGAAATGATGTGCTCAAGTGTCTCACATCTAGTAAATGCGAGAAATGCCATTGCAATACAGATTTCTGGCTCCAGAGCCTGTATTTTTTCCACATGATATTGTCACAAAAATCACAGGATTAAAGAATATTAGAGTGGAGCTGACCTAAGAAATCATCTAAAATCTAGAGTCTAGACCTGCACTGTCTAATGCAATAGCTATTAGCCACATGTGACTATTTTGACATAAATTAACTAAAATAAAATAAATTTAAAATCTCAGTTTCACAGTTGCACTAGCTATGTTTCAAGTGCTCAATAGCCACATGTGGCTGATGGCTACTATATTGGACAGCACATATAGAGCATTCCATCGTTGCAGAAAGTACTATTGGACAGCACTGGTCTAGATTAACCCCCTTATTTTATAGTTGAGGACAATGAAACCCAGAATCCTTAGGCCTTATTTTGGGAAACTCCATTTTAAGATGTTAAAAATCCAAATATTTGAGAACTGATCATAAGATCAACATGTACCTTGTTAGAAAGATTTTCCTTGTTGAATCCAAAATGGAGGGAAGACAGGCAGGAGATGGTATTTTTGGGGAAAGATCCTGTTGTGGCCTGAGATTCTTTGGTACATTAAGTTGACTGTCCTGGAGCAGGATACATCCTTGATGTATCCTGAAGGGTACGACAAGAGTTACTGGTAGAAATAGTGGCTGCCAATCTAGATTTGTTGGAGATAACTACAAGGTCTCCCACTTGCACTAGTGTTGGCTTTGGACATTGCCCATTAAGGAAGACAAGTGGAAGATGAGAGGGATTTAAAAAATTAGGTAGATCTCACAGAGGCTTCTCTGTCTAGTGTCTTAGGTGTTTCTGGTCCTGGGCTACACGTGTGCTTTTTCCACTCATCATTCCCAAGGACTGGGTCTCCCTGGTGGAAGAAACATGGCTGCTTCCCAGGGGCTGGGTAAAAAGCCCCTCCTGTCTCAGGAGGAGAGATCCAAGGGTAGTGGATGTATCTTACTTGCTTCTGGAGGGTCCATAATCAACAACCTTCTCAATCTAGTCATTCTACCAGTATTTGTTGAGGGCTTATCAACGGGCCCACCCCTCACTAGGCAGTGGGGTAGATAAAGAGGAACCAGACAGGGGCCCTTTATAAAAGCACTCATACACTGTTGGAGAGACAAAGCTCTCCTGTGCTCAACTGTGTGGCCCTGAGTGTCAGTGTGATGTGAGGTCAGAAAATGAGGAGCTCAATATTGACTGGAGTTGTTAGAGAAGGCTTTGTAGAAGATGTGGGCTTGAAGAGTGGGAAGGATTTACCATAGGAGTGCAAAGAAGGGACCAGAGAACATACTAGCATCACAAAGGCAGTGAGCTCTGAGATGTGAGGGGAGAGGGTGGCAGGGGCCACTGGGCCGGGGGTCTCACACTGAAGTCTCACCATCATTCCTCCAGCTCCAGGGCCTCACCTTCAAGAGGGGCTTTGGCAAGGATTAAGGCAAGGGGACGAGAATGCACATGCACGTGTGCCTTTTGTTACACCACACATCTTAGCCATGTGACGCCCATGGGGGGGCCAGAGACATTTTTTGATGTTAAGAGGGGCATTCGTTCCTGAAGATGCTGGGCCTGGGCTATGGGGCAGTGGCCTGCTCTGCCCTCTGCTCCTCCCAGAGATCAACACATCTTTGATTAAGAGGCTTTTTCTCATAAGTGTTAATTAAATGGAACTGCCTATAACCATGGGACTGCCATGAAAGTAAAACTAATTACTAGACAAGCCCACATCTCTCATTTTGCTTCAAGTCATCACTTATTGGGGAGAGAGCTGTTTTCTCTTCTTTGCAGGGTAAACCTATAAAGCAAGAAGAAAGGCAGTCTTCTTCTGGTCCTGCCTGTTTGTTGGTGCTGAAGAAATGGCAAACGGCCGAGTGGGCACTGGCAAATCCTACCTCTCACCCCTCTCATTCCCCAATAGGTTTACCAAATCAAATACAGGATGTCCAGATAAATTTCAATTTCAGATAAACAATGAAAACTTCTTTAGTAGAAGTATGCCCCAAATATTGACAGTGTAATGGTTCGTGGGGGGGGGTGGGGGTGGGGGTGTGTGTGCATGTGCTATAATCTGTGACTCTAATCCCCAACCATTTCCTGTCAGAGTGCATTTGGGGGCTCTGTTGAGCAGGAGGGTGTCCATCTCACTGGTAAGTGGACTGTACTGGAGAGCTGCCATCTTTACAAGGAGGAGTCCTAACATTTCCACTCCCTGGAGGACCCTGAGATCACCTCAGATGAGGAACTAGGGAATGTTGGTGAAAAATGTGGAGCTGGGGTTGCAGGAAGGATCTGACATCTGGTCCCAGCTCTGCTTTTAACTGAATGACCTTGGACAAGTTACTTTGCCCCTCTGGGCTTTTCTTTTTCCTTATCTTGTAAAAGATGGGGATTGAATTGTAGGATATCTGGGGAGTGTGAGTGGGGAAGGTTGGGAGGAAAGTTTTGGCTTGGGATGTGGAGTGAGAGGCTGCTGAGTGAGAGGGTGGGAGTGAAGGCACACTGCAGGCCGTCCTTTCCTCTGCAAATGTGGGGGAGAATAAAGGGAGAGAACCGTGGTAGAGGTTTACGGGCTACTAAGCTTGGGAGCTTTGCTTTAAAACAAAATTGCACCTGAAGTCCTGGTGTTTCAGGCCTTGGTGGAAAACACACTCTCACACCAGCATGCGAGGTGGGGCAGCCCGGGATGCACCTCCTCCCTTTTCCCCATTGACCTGCACAATGGAGTCTGTACGTGGTGTCAGGGGGCCATGTCCACAGGAGGCCTTGGAGGTATCTCCTGGCTGAATACCCAGGCTGGCTCTCCTGCTGGCCTCGGAAGTAGAGGTATGGTTGCCATGCTCTGTCCTGCTCCCTCTGTGTGGACACCAGTCAGGAAACAGCACAGCTGCTGAACCCTGAATCTCCCAGTGATACAGGCTGGTTGGCACAATCCTCATCAATAATCCAGAAACTCCCAGAAGGTGCCAGAAAGCACCAAAAGCAGATGCTTCAGCTAATAGACATAAACCAAGAGCCCACAGAGAAAAGCTCTGAAAGGCCCCTACAGATTTGCAGCTGGAAGGAGAAGGAGAAATGACAAATACCAGACCCCATCTTGAGACAGAGCATTAGAAAAGGATAAAAGCTACAGAAGAAAACATATTACCTAGTTCAGCCCATGGAAATCATCTTAGTACTTTCAAAAATGGCCCTGTACTGCAGTGGGAAGGCCAGCTCACAGATCAGCACCAGCATCCGATGTTTGTAACATGAATAATGGGACAGACAAACCATGTCCTGGCATTTTGAAAGTGACCGGCTCTGCTGCATTTCATTTCAGCTAGGAAGAATGTTCTGGGAAACTACCTGCCAAAGTCAGTCCCACTGTGCAAGACATCGTAGGAAATAGATGTGAATAAAAACATCTTGCATTTGGCTAGGGATCTATGTTATACTGTACAAAGAACTTTCACCTCATTATAATCCTGTAAGGCAGACTGAGTTAACATACCCTCGTCAGTGATGCAGAAACTCTTGGAGGATGACCCATTAAGCATGAGAACAGCAAATATGTGGTACTTGTGCTGACATCTCTCACCCTCCTCTTGTCCATGACAGACATCACTAATCAATCAAGGCATCCTTGACTACCAAACTGGACATGACCTCAGAATCCATCTTCTCATTTAAAACATTTAAAAAATTGAGGTGTAATTTATATGTAATATGCACAGAGCTTAGATGTTCAGTTTGATGAAAATTGATAATTGCATATACCTTTGTAACCACCATAGACAACAAAAACCAGAACATTTTCATCAGCCCAGAAAGTTCCCTCATGCCACTTCCTAGTCAGTGTCCTCCCACCCAGCACCCAACAGGTAATCACTATTTTGATTTTTAATACCATGGACTAGTTTTTTCTATTCTTGAACTTCATATAAATGGAAGCATGTAGCATATATACTTCAGTGCTCGTGAAAGTGATCCACACAGTGTTCCATTGAGAATTGGCATGAGGGATAAAACCCATTTACCGCCCCTTTGGTTAAGCAGCTCCTCCAGGGCAATAATGTAGACTGGAAAGACAGAGGATAAAAGGCTCAGCCAGTTAGCAGTGGGGTTGGAATCAGAATTTGGGGCTTCAAAATCCACATCACTGCAAATCCTTTCGTTCTTGAAGAACCATCTTATCAATGGATCAGGACTTAGCATCATGAACCAGTTTGATGTCAAAGCAAGCAAGAAAGGTGGTTTTGAAGCAGGTACCTCAGTGAGTGTCCCAGACAGTAAGAGCTGTCAGACTAGAGAGACCAACATTTTTACACTTGTTAGGATGCAGCAAAACTCAACAGGCTTCAACAAAAAGAAAGAAAACTTATTATCTCATATAACAAAAAGACCAAAAGTAGGAGAGTATCAGGGTTGGTTAATTCAGTGGTTCAATGGCCCCGTAGTTCAATGGTTCTGCATCCTGAAACCTGTTCTGTAGGCACCAAAGCTCTTTCTACTACCTTTGAGAAAAATACTTTCACTTCAGTTTTACAGGCCTGTAGAGTCTGAACAGTGGACACAAGGAGACATCAAGTGGGTCCAAAAAGCACAAGCAGGATTGGCCGGTTACTCAGTTGGTGAGTGTGGACTTATAACACCAAGGTCAAGGATTCAAATCCCCTTACCAGCTGGCTGCCAAAAAGCACCAGCAGAAGAGTGGGAAGGAGAGAACTTAGTGAGAAAGCCTGAGAAAGCACCCTGGATTTAGGGCCAGGTTGTCTGGGTTCAAGGCCTGGTCCGCCTCGTCAGAACTTCATGATCTTGACTGAGCCTTGGAAACTTTCTGAACCTCTCTCTAAAATGGAGCTAATAGCATGGTAGAGGGAGTGTAAAACTCATGGGTTTTGGAATCAAATAACCTGAGAGAGTCAGTTTCACAGTGCCTGGCAGATAGTAGGGGCTCAATGTTGTTGGGAAATGAATAACTAAATGCACGAATAGTTCCAGTCACAGCCCCACTACTTCTCGATCACCTAAATTATATAACCTCATCTGTAGTACTGGCATAGTCCCAACTTTTTAGGGCTTTTTGATGGTGTAAATGAAATAATTTAAGATAAAGTGTCTCACTGAGCCAGCTCATGGTAAGGTGAGAAGGTCCTTTCTCTCCCCTCCTGGCCTCCCCTCCCTGCCTGCCTTGCACATGTGAAAGACTTTCTGATCTCGTAATGGGATGAGAGGAGTCGCAGTGAAGGAGACTGAGCAGAGACTTTGCGTTAAGATGGGAATGTCCTGGAGATCTAGCCCACCTTTGTTGGGCATATGTCCTTAATTACTCCTCTAAGTAATTTCACTCAGTGTTCTCAGTGTAAGGATTAAATGAGCTGAAATATGTGAAGTACTCAATACTTAGCACATAGTAGGTGGTCAGCAAGTATTAGATTTCTTCTCATTCCCTCTGTCCAGGGTGTGGGAGACTACATTCATTGCACAATATTTCTTCCCCTCACTTCTTCTTGTTAACAGAACCCTTTCTCAGGTACTTGCTTTCCCAGACTCCATTGCATCTTCAAGTGGCCTTGTGACCTAGTTCTGGCCAATGAGACCTAAGGGGGAGATTCTGGGGAGCTTTTGGGAAGTCTTTGCTTCCTTAGAGAAGGGATAGCTATGCAAGGATGGTGTTTTGGCCCCTTTTTTCTGCTTTGAACCCAGATATGACCCCTGGAAGTGTGGGAGCCATCTCATGAACACGTGCTAACAAGCATAAGGAAGAAAAGCCAACATTCAAAGGATGGTGGAGGGAAAAGATAGCGCTTGAGTCCTCAATGACATTGGCAAGCAGCTGATCAAGGATGAAACTTCTACCCCCAAACTTTTTGTTATTTAAGATAACTAAATCTCTTTATGACTTAAATCAGGGGTTGGCATATATTTTTACAGGGTCAGATAGTAAGTATTTTGGGTTTTGAAGGCCATGTGGTCTCTACTACTCAACCTGTCCTTGCAGTGTGAAAACAGCTATAGACAAAACGTAAAGTCATGGCTATGTTCCAATAAAACTTTTTTTTAAAAACGAAAATGTAATTTTATTAATTTTTTTTTTTTACATTCTATGATGTTGTGGAGCAGTTGGGAGGGAGGGGGAGGGGAAGGGGAAGGAAATGGGATGGAAGAAGGAGGAAGGAGGAGGGGTTGGGATTGAGGCACCCACCACATTCCCACAGGGGAGACCAGAGGGCTTCCAGTGGTGACTTGGTCATTGCCGGGCTGGGTGCAGATGTCAGGGGTGTGTGGCAAAAGCCCTCGCCCCCCACCACCCTGGGCTTGGGAACCCAGGACCCTTCTTTCTGTGGCTTGGTGGTTGTCATGGGGCTGGTTGCACATGTTGGGGGGGCATGGCAGAGGACCTCAGGCCTCCACCACCTCGGCTTGGGAGAGCCCGGGGCACTTCCTATGGCAGCTAGGTGGTCACTTCTGGGCTGGCCGTGGGTGTCAGAGGGGTGTGGCTAAGGTCTGCCATCACCCCTGCTCAAGAGAGCCTGGGGTGCTTCCTGTGGCAGCTCAGTGGTCGTCAGTGGGGTGATTGCACGTGTTGGGGGCCATGGCCAAGGCCCTCATCCCACACCCTTAGGACTGGTTGCAGGTGTTGGGGGGCATTGCTGAAGCCCCTGGCCCTCCCCTCTTTCTGGCTTGGTAGCCCAGGGGACTTCTGGTCCTTCCAAGTGTTATAGGTGTTCTTTGGTGAAATGAGACCTTTACTAGTTAATATCAAACTTGGTCTCTGGTCGTGGGTACTTTGTTTTTTCTTTCAGTTCTGTGTTGGATTATTTGCTGTTCCCACCACTTAAACTCTGTGCTAGAACTAATTTGTTGTCCTTTGCTTACTTCTAATATTGGGGAACTTCCTGTGGGGACCAGTACTTGAGCTCTGTGGTTGAGCTAAGTTTCTGCTTTGCTGCTGATTCCCTAGGGAAGGCTTTTTGTGCAGCTCAAGTTTTAATGGTTGACTTCATAGGTACTTCTGGGTCTAGTGGAATCCAGTGCACCTGGATTGTGTAGAAACTCTGGTTTGGCTCTGAGTCTTTTCATCAGTCTGCACCCCATGCAATTGTATGTTACTGACCAGACTGCTCTGAGTGGTCCTACACTAACTTGGGTACAGATCAGCTGTCCTTGTTGTGCCCTAGTGTTCTCCTGGCGGGCCCGTCTCCTCCACTGCCAGTGCTGCAAACACTTCCCATGGGACAGGCCATGCTTTGGTCTCTTGCAATGACTCACTGGCCTCTGAGTGGCTCTTTTTTTTTCAGTTGTTGTGGCTCCTTGCTCCTATGTGGGTCCACGGGAACCCTATTAGTGGTCTTGCTGGCCTGGGGGCCACCAAAGCCCTCTTCTCCCCTGCCACCTCCAAGCAACTTCATCCGAAGGGCACAGCTGTGGCTTTTGCCAGCTCCTGCTCCGTGTGCTCAGCAGCTCCAGCCTTAAAGTGGCCGGGACTTGAAATGGTCAGAGTGGTTCTTTCTCTCATCGTGGCTTCTCCCACCTTCATGTACTCCATAAGTCTCTCTTCCTCTTCCCCTGAGCTCTAGTGGCTCCAGCTTGGCTGTCATTCCTTTTTTATAGTTGTAAATTGGTTGATTTGCAGGAGAGAGTGACACTGGGGACCATCTATTCCACCATTTTGACTGGAAGTTCCCAATAAAACTTTATTTACGAAAATAAACAGTGGGCAGGATTTGTCCAGTGAGCTGTGTTTGCTGATCCCTGACTTAAACCACTAGCAATTGAGAAATGTGTTGCTGGGCCAGCCCTGTGGCTCACTCGGGAGAGTATAGCGCTGGTAGTGCCGGGGCCACGGGTTTGGATCCTATATAGGGATGGCC